TATATATATTATATATTATACTTCTTTTGTCCTTCCCCTTTTCTGACTTCATAAATTTTTTGAAGGATGGAGAAATCACTCTTGAAAACATAATATGTTGAAGGTTATTAAAATGGTGAACATTTAGCGATTTATGCACATCATAGAAAACATTTTCTGTAATCACAGTAGGCTGCTTTGGTGAAAATACTGAGTTGTATTAAAATTCCTTCAGAGTCAGCTGGAACAGAGCAGCATGCTGTTCCCTGTTTGTTTGGATCACTGCTATGAGTTAGAATTGGAGTTTCTCAGGTTTCCCTTGGGAAGGTTTTATTTCATTTAGTGCTTCAGAATTGTAAGTCTTAAAAAAGAATTTTGGCTAAAGAAATACTCAGTTGAGATACTTACGTGGTGGTTAGTAACATTTCCCTGTTCAGGTGGATACACGTTTGCAAAATGGATTTGCTCCTGGGATGAAGCTGGAGGTGGCTGTGAAAACAGACCCTGAATCCTACTGGGTTGCCACCATCATCACCACATGTGAGCAGTTGCTGCTGCTTCGCTACGAAGGGTACGGCGAGGACCGGAGGGCCGACTTCTGGTGTGACATCAGGAAGGCCGGCCTCTACCCGATCGGGTGGTGTGAGCAGAATAAGAAGACCCTTGAAGCCCCGGAAGGTAATGCGGTACTTGCTGTGGAGACGTGCTGTGGTACTGCTGTGTGCACAACCTTGAGGTCTTCGTTCTCCCACACACACAGGTTTTTCTCACTTTCTGGGGTTAGCATTTTGAATGAAAATATTGATAAGGAATAATGCACATTTCCCTATCTTTAAAAGTTATTTTTGAGGCTTCATAAAGCCTTGCGTCTTTATGATACTCCTAGGGAGCATCAGTTGCTTCTCATCCTGTAAAACTGTGAGGCTCTCTGAGTTTGGGACTTGTAGGTCTGTTTGTCTTGAAGTACATTGGGCCAGATTGCTGTGCTGGTGATTCCCTTCTAATTTTATTGTCCTCCCTCTTCTCACCCCTAGGTGATCTGGGACCTATGAATTCTTAAAATGAGTCAACTGAAGTTCCCTTCCCGGAAAGCCTTACGGGGAGTAGAATCCAAATTAAGTAGGACAGAAGGAGGAGGAGGAAGGTCATGTAAAGATGGAGAAAGGGGAAAGAAGGCTTCAGGTTTAAGAAAATATCAGAGCTTATATATTTTTCTTTCAACTTATTTTGATATAATTTCAGATTTACAGGAAAGTTGCAAAAATAGTGTAGAAAATTCTTAGAGACTTTTTGCCAAGTTTCCCTAAATGTTGATGTTTTACCAAATATATGTTATCCATCCCTCTCCCTCCTTCCCCTCTACCTCTCATACACACATGCATGCGTGATTTTTCAATGAACCATTTGAAAGTCAGTTGTAGGCATGATACCCTTTTACTCATACCTTAATGTACTTATAAGGACATTCATTAGCACAGTAAAAATAACAAAATAAGGAAATTAACTTTGTAACAAAATAAGGAAATTAACTTTGATATAACACTATTATTTAATCTGTAGATCTTATTTTTTACCCATAATGTTTTTAATAGTAAAAGGAAATCCCAGATCATGTGTTGCATTCAGTTGTCATGTCTCATAAGATTCCTTTAATTTGGAACAGTTACTCAGTCTTTGTCTTTCATGACTTTGACATCTTTGAAAGTACAGGCCAATTTTCTTGATAATGTTGATTATGCCTTGTTTCTTTTCCTGGTCCAGGATTCAGTCCAGGATCATACATTGCATTTGATTGTTGTGTCTTTTCAGTTTCCTTAAACTTTCTTTTTATTTCTTGGTGTTGATGTTTTTGAAGAGTACAAGCCAATTATTCTTTTAGAATGTCCCATAGTGTGGGTTTGTCTGATGTTTCCTTAGACTCAGATTGTGCACTTTTGATAGGAAAAATGCAGGAGTGACTCTCTGTCCTTCTAGAGCATCAGTCATTATTAGGACACACATGCTGTTGGTTTGCCCTGTAACTGGTGATAATAACTTTTATCACTTGATTAATTTGCTGTATGCCAGGTTTTTCCACCATAAAATTACTTTCATACCTCTAAATTAATAAGTATCTTGTAGGAAGATACTTTGAGATAATGTAAATATCTCATCACTCCTCAAACTTTTACCCACTATTTTTAGCACTGATTGATCATTTTTATCTTAAACAATTATTACTCTAATGTTTACCAAACAGTATTTTCTAATTCTGTCTACATATCATGATAAGCTTTCTACAAGAGAAAGAACTTTCCTTTCCCCCCATTTACATACATACGTTTATCTATGTATGTCAGGGTAGACTTCATGATTCTTATTTTACTCAATGGGTTATAATCCTTTACTGTGTTATTTATTTGGATGCTCACAATGTCCTAGGTTTGGCAAGTGGGCACCCCTTTAAGCTGGCTAATGTGTCCTCTGTTACGTTCCCATCATTCTTTGAGTGGTTTCTTATGTTTTAGCTCAAGAAGCTCGTCTCTGGGTGCCTGGGTGGCTCAGTCAGTTAAGCATCAGCCTTCAGCTTGGGTCATGGTCCCAGCATCCTGGGATTGAGCCCCACGTCAGTCTCCCTGCTCAGCGGGGAGCCTTCTTCTCCCTCTCCAGCTCCCCCTGCTTGTGTTCCCTCTCTCGCTGCCTCTCTCTCTGTCAAATAAATAAATAAATAAATAAATAAATAAATAAATAAATAAATCTTAAAAAAAAGAAGCTTGTCCCTGAAATCGGCCATTTCTCCGAGAAGTCCTGGTTTCTTTTGGTGAAGAATGGCATTTTGAAATGAAGATTTGGGTGTTAGGGTCCTTGGGGGTCTGTGGGTTTGTAGCGGCCTTTTTTTTTTTTTTTAAGGTTTATTTATTTATTTTGAGAGAGAACGGGGGGTTGGGTAGCAGAGCAGAGGGGAAGAGAATCCCAAGTTGAGCGTGGAGCCTGATGCGGGGCTTGATCCCAGGACCTTGAAATCAGGACCTGAGCTGAAACCAAGAGTCGGACCCTTAACTGACTGAGCCACCCAGTAGCCCCTAGCTGCCATATTTGAAGCATTTTGTGAAAAAACATTGTAAGAGGAAGCTCTAGAGACATGAAGCTACTGGCCGACCATCTCATTGTAAGAGTCTAGGAAAATGCATCGAATTGAAATGATTTTAGTTGGATACAAGGTTATAACGAAAGAGTGAGAGGGAGAGAGAGGAGAGAAGGGTGGAATAAAATCATTTCAGAGAAACAACCACAAAAGAGTTGAACATTGTGTCAAAAACATTTCAAAAACCAACTAAGAGAAAGTAGTAACAACGTTAGAAGCAGTGAGAAAAAGTATAAATAAAATTTATAAAAATCAGAAACGAGATGGAGAAAAGGGAATTTGAAAAGAGAAAAAGTAGGAGTTAGGCAAGAACTAGAAATAAAAGCATATTAGAAATGAAGACTAAGTTAAAGTGAATACAGGAACAAATCTACCATGGATAATATCTGAAGATAGAGGATGAAAAGGAAGGGAAAAAAAAAAAAGAAATGAGGAAAGAAAAAAGACTTGGGGTAAAGTCACTGAAGGAAACCACAACAGTGAAACAATAAAATACAATAAACTTTCATTCAAGAAAACTTGACTGAAATAAAGTAGGACTGAAATACATATAGAAAGGGCTCACTTTGCACATGGGAAAATCAAGTGAGAACAGCTATATCAAGGTGAACTTTTTTTTTAAAGATTTTATTTGTTTACTTATCTATCTATCCACCTATCTATTTGAGAGAGAGACAGCACTAGCAGGAGGGAGGGGCAGAGGGAGAAGCAGACTCCCCGCTGAGCAGGGAGCCTGATGTGGGGCTCAATCGCAGGACCCTGGGATCATGACCTGAGTTGAAATCAAGAGTCAGATGCTTAATGGACTGAGCCACCCAGGTGCCCCTGACACTTGAACTTTAAAATAAAATCCCTTTGTTATTCAGGCAAAAGGTCTAAATTTCCTGAAAAAGAAGGAAACAAGATTGTCATCAGACTAATTGACAGTAATGAATAGTTAAGAAATTCAGTAAAAGAATCTGTGAGACAAGGGTTTTAAATCTGGCCACACTGAACTTCAGGTATAAAGGCCATAAGCAGTCTGTTACAAAGATGTGAAGTTTCAGGAACAGTGTTCCTGTGAGCCCTTCCCAAGACATCCACTGGGGACTGAGCTTTAGAAAACCAAGTGAATAAAGAGACATTAACATAAGAACTGTTAATGAGACATTAAATATATGTGTAGCTGTAGAACTTCAAACTAAATGAAGTTTACAAAGGAGACAGTGTAGTATGTAATGGCTACATAATCTGACAGTGTAGATACAGTGTAACTGTAAAAATGTGAGGCAGCAGAGGGGGAGGGCATGTGCATAAAAGCTCACTCACTGCCTTTTCAAAAAAAGCAGCTTTACTGCAGAGTAATTAATTACCTTTTATTTTTTTTTTGACTAATTACCTTTTAAATGTTAATTGAGATTAAAAGACAATTGCCTGAAATGAGATGGTGAAGAAGAGGAGAAAAAAGAGGTTTTGGCTAATGTTAGTATTGTTTATAGAACAAAGAAATGGAAAATAGTCCAAAAATAGAGAGAACTAAAGTGTTATATAAAGTTATTTGTATATGCTAAGGTAACCAGAAAAACAAAAACACAAACCTTTCTAAATGCCAAAAGATAGATTTTAAAAAGTGTATGTTCAAATAAAATAGATCACATAGTGAGAGACTGTGCATACACACACACACATATCAAAAACTTATATGATATTTGGCAATATGACAAAATTGAGGGCATACCTATTGATAATATCAATAAATGTTAATGGGCTTAGTCTTCTATTAAAAGTAAAAAAATGGTTCAGGTTGACTCAGAAAGCAAAACCCACTCCTGTGCCGTATGTACAGGAGACCTACCTAATGGAGAGATTCTGAAAGGGTTAAAATACAAGGATGGACAAAGATACATAAAAATCAAATCAAATAGAAAAGAAAGTAGGAGTGTCAGTCTTGGCATTTCATAAAGGTAGAATTCAGATCAGAAAGCATTATGAGATAAAAGGGTACTTGATAATGATTAAAGCTGCAATGCATGATAAAAAGAAATGGGGACCATCTACATACAGTCAGGGAGTGTTCTCCTGGATATCTTGTTTTATGAAAATAGAAAAAATGTGTAAAGAATGAAGGAGGGGGGAGTATATGAATGTGTATATGTGTTCATTTTTAAAAAATAAAAGAATAAGTCTATTTAAAAAGTTACCTGTGTGGGGAGGTGCCTGGGTGGCTCAGTGGGTTAAGCGTCTGCCTTCAGCTCGGGTCATGATCTCAGGGTCTTGGGATTGAGTCCCTGCCTTGGACTCCCTGCTCAGCGGGAAGCCTGCTTCTCCCTCTCCCTCTGCCCCTTCCCCCACTCACGCTCACATGCTCTCTTATTCCGTCTCTCTCTCTCAAATAAATAAAATCTTTAAGGAAAAAAAAAAGTTACCTGTGGGGAAGGAAAGAAATAGAATGAAGTGAGGGACAGGGATAGAAGCTAGATTTTCTGAATGTACCTATTTTGTAGATTTGAATTTTGAACTATGTATTTTATACAACTATAAAACAAAATTAAATTTTAAAAAAATTTCAAAAAGCAAAAAAGCATAGAAATGTAACTGTGTATGGAGATTGTGAAGTGACCACTCAGAGAACTATTTCTTTGAAATAGTTGAAACCAAACTGTTGGCTTTCAGATACAGTAATATAAGTGTACATCCCTAATAGGGATAAAACATAGCAACAGCAACAGAAGTAAGCTGTTTTCAATAATCATTGTTAATGGCAAAGTTGATGTTATTTTGAAGTAGTATTTGGGTATTGTGGGATTAAGTCATAATGAAATGTGTGAGAGCTAGGATTTTCAGCAGGAAAGAAAGGAAACAGAAGTTGGATAAATGAAGTTAATAGAAACAGTGTCTTCATGAATTTGTATTGGAAGTATCAATATGAACTCCTGATGTGATTTATGTCTTTAAAAAAGGGGAAGGTATTTCTTAGTCCTAGATATTGAAAAAGCTTAGAAACACAAACAGTATAAAGAATATTAAAAAATGAGCACCCTCAGCCCCCTAATTATGACCTCTAAATACCATTTCACCTGAATAAGTTAGAGCTCCTTGGAGAAGGAGCCGATTCCTGGGCTGGGGCAGGAAAGGTACAAGCTGAGCCTGGGACACTGTTCATACCAAAAGTAAGAAAGATGTCAGTGACTGTTTACTAGGGTCATGTGTCAAAAAAGATTCCCTCTGGTTAAAGACAGGACAGAGTGAGCATTAGTAGGACAATAGCTGCGATGGCCTGGAACATGTCATATGTGATGTAGTCTATAATTTCCTAGTGAGACTTGTAAACAGAACTCTCACTGATTGCCTTTGGAGGATGCTAGCGAAGCCCCAAAATGTGGCCTTTTGGGGCTCTCTGTCACCGAGCAGGTGTTGATTTTAATTCAGGAATTTGTAACTCCCACCCTGGGTGACGTGAGACCCCCTTTTCTTTTGCTCAGAAGACAGCAGACCTGTTGTATTCTTACTACCTACCTGCCTTCAACAGTCCTTTTAAATTAGTGTACCTTTTGAGCTTGTTAATGAATATAATATAGATTTCTTGTAGATACAGGGAAAGATAAAGAGAATCAAACAAATATCCTGACTTTTTTCTTTGAACTACACCTCAGGGTAATGAAGTAGTTGAAGAAGTGAAACTTTTCTTTATAGAATATTTTGGTTAGTAAACAAAAAAAGGGATGATGGAAAAATCACCATTTTTAGTCCCTAATGAATCAGTGTATCTATATAGTGACCATTAAAAGCTGCTAACACCACAAAAGAAGAGACAACCAGACTGAATGTGCTTCTTGATGGATGTGATAGAAGGTTACAACTCCACTTATGAACTGTTCTCGACAGCCCCCTCCAAAAAGAGTCAGATCGGAATTCGATCAAGCCTGTAGCCCTAAATATTGATTTATAGAAAATACAGAGGTCAGTGGAGCAGCTGGTTACCACCCACAGGGAGGCAGCCAGTAAAAGCAGACGCAGAAGAACTCTAAACAGACAAAAGGCTCTCTCTCAACAGCAAATATGCTGCTAGAAAGAGAGAGTGGGGAGATGGAGGGGGAGAAAGAACATACGGATTAAAAGAGACTTGAGCAATATATCAACCATTTGCAGTATATGTATCTCATTGGGATCCTGATTTGACCAAGCAAATTGGAAAAACCATTTATGAGACATATGCGGAAATTTAAAAATGGACTAGATATTTTTTATTGAAGAATTATTGTTAATTTTTAAGGGTGTGATATTGTGCTTATATAAAAAGTTATTTACTTTTAGAAATACATACTAGGGTGCCTGGGTGACTCACTCGGTTAAGTGTCCAACTTGTGATTTCAGCTCAGGTCATGCATCGTCTCATGGGTTGTGGGATTGAGCCCCATGTCAGGCTCTGCACTCAGCGGGGAGTCTGCTTGAGATTCTCTCTCTCCCTCTCCCTCTGTTCCTTCCCCTCTCGCACACTCTTTCTCTGTCTCTCTCTCAAATATATTAATAAAAATCTTTAGAAATACATACTGAGATTAAACTGGATGAACTTATATGGTACAATTATATGATACGAGGAATTGGCTTTTAAATAATCTGTGGTTGGGTGAGGTGGACTGTGTGAGGGTGTAGATCATCAGGGATTGGCAAAATATCTGTAAAGGACCAGACAGTAAATATTTTAGGCTTACCAGGCCATGTGATCCCTGTAACAGCTACCTAATGTTACCTTTGTAGTGCAAAGCAGCCCTAGACAATGTGTAAACAAATGGGCATGACTGCGTTCCAATAAAACTCTGATTATAAAAATAGACAGTAAGCTGAAGTTAGCCCCCAGGTTGTAGTTTGCCAACAACTCCGGGGAAGACTGACCATGAAGTGACAGTTGTTGAAGCTGGGGTACATGGGGTCATTATACTCTTTTCTCTACTTTTATATATATTTGAGGATTCCCATCATTAAAAAAAAAAAAGTAGCTAACTTTTGGATAAAATTGGGCCCACCTGGGGTGCCTGGGTGGCTCAGTTGGTTAAGCGTCTGCCTTCGGCTCAGGTCATGATCCCAGGGTCCTGGATCGAACCCTGCATTGGGTTCCCTGCTCAGTGGGGAGTCTGCTTCTCCCTCTCCCTCTGTCCCTCCCCTGCTTGTGCTCTCTCGCTGTCTCTCTGTCAGATAAATAAATAAAATCTTAAAAAAAAAAATTGGGCCCAACTCCCCTGTTACTGTATTCTCTTTGTTTTGTGTACACCTCTTATTAAACTAATCAGGAAGTAGATCTATCTAGAGGGGGATTTTTTTAAGCTCTGAAAGAAGTAATTTGTTGGACTCAGATAATAAAAGTACAAATGCATCTCTAAATCACTTTCACTGGTTTAACTTCTCTGTATTAGATTGAGTTTAGTTTCCCTGTGTTCTGTAGCTGACATTATGAGTAGTCATTTGTTTACTCATTTATTCCCTCATCTAGGCATCAGAGATAAAGTGTCTGATTGGGATGAGTTTCTGCGGCAGACCCTGATGGGAGCATGTAGCCCTCCTGTTCCGCTGCTAGAAGGCGTGAGTATTATTGCTTGCAGAATCAGTGTGGAAAACCCGTCTCATCTTCAGTGATATTTTCTGTCCAAGGAATCTTAAAATTGGTTGCTCATTTATCACTCTAAAGCAAATAAGCATTTTTACTACAGACATGACAATGGGTATCGGTGGGTTTAAACTTATCCTCAGAGACTGCCAACTGGTACCTTACTTAGTGCCTAAAATGTTCTGAATTTGTTGCTAACACATAAAAATCTAGTTTTCCAGATTCTTCAATGAAGTTGGAAAATGTGGCCTTTTGGGGCTCTCTGTCACCGAGCAGGTGTTGATTTTAATTCAGGAATTTGTAACTCCCACCCTGGGTGACGTGAGACCCCCTTTTCTTTTGCTCAGAAGACAGCAGACCTGTTGTATTCTTACTACCTACCTGCCTTCAACAGTCCTTTTAAATTAGTGTACCTTTTGAGCTTGTTAGTGAATATAATATAGATTTCTTATTTTTCTGAAATCAGTTTGTTGGTTATGACATTTCTAAGTTATATTTTGTTACTTGCTGTCATACCAGTTACATTCTTTGTGGCATATGTGAAATGCAACGTATGAACATTCCAGTTTCTCCGTATTTTTGCCAACACTTGTTACTGTCTTTTGGTTATAGCTATGCTAGTGAATATGAAGCAGTTTCTCATTTTGATTTGCATTTTCCTAATGACAAATGATGTTGGGTATCTTTTTCTGTACTGTTTGCCATTTGTATATCTTCTTTTTTTTTTTTTTTTTTTTAAGATTTTATGTATTTATTTAACAGAGAGCACAAGTAGGGGGAGTGGCAGGCAGAGGGAGAGGGAGAAGCAGGCTCCACGCAGAGCAAGGGGAGCCCAGTGCGGGACTTGATTCTAGAACCCCGGTATCATGACCTGAGCTGAAGGCAGTCACTTAACCAACTGAACCACCCAGGCACCCACCATTTGTATATCTTCTTTGGGGAAATGTCTTTGCCCATTTTAAAAAATGGATTGTCTTTTTATTATAGAATTGTAAGAGTTCCTTATATCTGATAACAAGTCCAGTCAGATACATGATTTCCAAATATTTTGTGGACTGTCTTTTCATTTTCTTAATGATATTGTTTGCAGCACAAAAGTTTATGTTGATGTAGTCCAGTTTATCTATTTTGTTGTTGTTGCTTGTACTTTTGGTATCATATCTAATTAGGCTTTGTTTAACGCAAGGTTACAAAGATTTACTGCTATATTTTCTATGTGTTTTATAGTTTTGACTCTTACATCTCATTCTGTGATCCATTCACATTCCCCTTTAAAACTCGATTGGTAAATACTCTATTTCCAGCTAACCTTTATATTTTATCCTCTGACTCATTGCATTATGCTTAGCCAGGGCCTGGTACACGCTAAACAAACAGTAAAATTTTAATGAATGAATGAAATCACGAACAAATGATTTAATAGATATCCAGCTCTACATTGACCTTGATTCTGCCATCCTGATTTTTAGCTGTGAACGTGTTCCTCCATTTGTACATATGTTCTTTTGTATATATATGAATATGTAAGTGTCGCAGAGCTCTTCTTATTAGGGAAAAAAAATGTAAGTCTGAATATAAAGAAATGGTTAAGTGATGATATTGGAATCATTGTTCCCTTTTATTATTTATTGTAGCCTTTTTTTTTTTTTTTAAAGATTTTATTTGAGAGAGCAAGCGAGCTCCGGGGGGGACGGACAGAGGGAGAAGGAGAAACAGGCTCCCCGCGGAGCAAGGAGCCCGATGCGGGGCTCGATTCCAGGACCTTGGGATCATGACCTGAGCTGAAGGCAGACAACACTTAACCAACTGAGCCACCCAAACACCCCTACTGTAGCTTTTAATATGTATCTAGAGAGTGATAATTAAACTTTTCCGTTCCATCAGCATAATCAAAACACTGTGTTCATAGGAACATTGTTGTGAAATGAGTAAAAAATCAGAAACTACTGAAGTGCCATCAGCATGTAAGTGGATAAATTACTGCCCATTTATAATACAGAATATCAGCAAAACAGTATAAAAGAATAAAGATTAAATGTGCTAGAATAGATAGCTGTGATGTATAAAGTGGCAAACATGAATTGAAAAAGAGTATACAGTGCCCCATTTTCCAAAAAAACATGAGAGAGACAGACACAGGTAGATGTTGACTTGGGTCTAGAAAACCTAATCTCAGAGTGGGCACCAAAGTGTATCATGGTTCTTTCTTGGAGGTGGGATTGTAGGGGATTTTGACTTTTGTCATGTTTGATTTTTTGTTTAATGGTGATCATATTTGCTTTTACAATCAGACTAATAATGATAATTTAAAATTTTTTACTAGATGAAACTATACAACATAGTCCCAGAGACAGAGGTCTGTTAGAATAGTTTCGTTGCATTATAAGTAGAATTTTCTTTAAGATAAACATTTTCATGTCATCTAGAAATAATACTATAGGGACTTGTATGAAATTAGGCCTTTCAGTGTCATGGCTTTGAGTGGGTAGAAATATAAAGGCTCATTGGAGATCCTTTACAGCTTGACTTTTAAAAATACTGTGTGAACTTCTCATAATCGTTTTCACCTCTTGTACCTGCAGCTCCGCAACGGGAGGAATCCTTTAGATCTCATTGCTCCAGGCTCCAGGCTAGAATGTCAAGCTTTCCGGGACTCATTAAGCACTTGGATTGTTACTGTAGTAGAAAACATTGGGGGAAGGCTGAAGCTGCGTTATGAAGGACTTGAAAGTTCTGACAATTTTGAGCATTGGTTGTATTACTTGGATCCGTTCCTTCATCACGTTGGTTGGGCTGCTCAACAAGGATATGAGCTTCAGCCCCCATTAGGTGAAGAGTAATATAACATTTTTCTTTTAACTGTTACATTATTGTTATGTTTTTACTAATGTTGACGAGACAAAAAATGTATTATTCTGCGTATTACAAAAGTGTAATAGAGATGTTGCAAAAAAACTTATATTTGATTAAGTGCCTATTTTTCTTTTGGTTTATTAATTTAGTAATTTGCCATACCTCTTGTACCTTATGGACTCCTGCTCCAACTCATATTGACCTCTTACCAAAATTGAAGAAAAATTTTCTGGGTAGCATTTAGGTAGATATAGGAGTAGGATAGGTCTTAGGATAGGTCTTGGTTCAAAGTGAATTGTTGATTAGAAGAAATAACAACAATCTCAAAACTGGAGTTACTGTTTTAAAGCAAGTTGCACTTCTTATTATGTGCTTCAGTTTGGGTGTTATATTATTTTATGGCCTGCAGCAGTCCTGATGATCTTGCTGTGGGTATTTTCACCAGGCCTACTATGCAGGCTCTAAACAGAGGGGACAAAGTACTGAAGTTACGGTGCAGGCTCTGAATGGAGAGGGCATAAGTGCGCTGGAGTCCTTTCTTTCCCCATGGAAAGTGACTTTCTGTTTACATGAATGCTTTCAGAACAGATGTAAAGTGTGTACGTTCTCCTCATTTAAAATGTCCTGTCTTGTTTTACAAAAGCCATCCGGCATCTGAAAAGTGAAGCTGAGTGGCAAGAGATCCTGGCCAAAGTGAAAGAGGAGGAGGAAGAGCCATTGCCGTCATACTTATTTAAGGTAAAACCAAAACGGGATGGTGGGTGCTCACCTTCTCCTGGCAGGTCGGGCAGTCGGGGGTGGCACCGAGCGCACAGCCAGCCAGCCGGCGGGTCAGTAAGGATACCGGGGCGTCTGAAGCAGAAAGCTTCAAGAGCTTTGAAGGCTGGAGCGATGCGCATCCTGTTTCTCTTCCAAAAGTAGTCTAGGTTTTCTCCTAACATTCTCCAAAAGTATTTGAGTCTTTTCTTGTCAACCCTTTTTTTTTTTAAGATTTTATTTATTTATGTATTTATTTGAGAGAGAGAGAGAGAAACAGCATGAGAGGGGAGAGGGTCAGAGGGAGAAGCAGACTCCCCGCCGAGCAGGGAGCCCGATGCGGGACTCGATCCCGGGACTCCAGGATCATGACCTGAGCCGAAGGCAGTCGCTTAACCAACTGAGCCACCCAGGCGCCCTTTCTTGTCCACTCTTAACTGCATAGCCCCAATGCATTATAAAATGAACTTGTTCTCCTCCAGATGGCCTTTGTGTACCAAATACGGAGAGTGGGAGTACTTCCTGTGTTTTTGTTTCTGAATAATTTTTTCCAGGAAAAAAAATATAGGATTAAATTATTTACCAGGAACTGGACAGTTTTATTTTAATTAATTAAGAGTAGTATTCAGCTATATATGAGTATAAAATGAATGTGAAAATACTGTATTTTTATTCCCTGTTGGGTGTTTACATTTCAGGACAAACAAGTGATTAGCACTCATTCATTCTCTGTAAATATGAAGTTGGAAGCTGTGGACCCCCGGTCTCCTTTTGGGATCTCTCCTGCTACAGTTGTTAAGGTAAAATGGGGGCAGCTCTTTTGGTACGAATACCTGTCAGGGTGACTGGTTTAGGAAAGTAGTTAGAGTTTTGATCGTCAGGCTCTGCTAATCTGAGCCATGTTTCTCCTAAACTGTGAGGCCAGAATGACTTCTGTGCACATTTTGCATTTGTACTGGCCAGTTCTCTGTGGCCCAGCCAACCAAAGCTTAGGCGCCAGAGTAGTGGGGCATGGTCTTTGGGGCAGGCCTTGAGGTGCGTAACTAGAGGGGACTTACCCGGCAGGCAGGCCGTGGTGTCTGAGAAGTCTGGGCGCGGGTGACAGTGTCAGAGTCCACCCAGGTGCAAGGCTCAGTGGGGGACGTGGGGGTGGGGCAGGTGGTCCGTGTCATGAGATCTGTCCAGGGTTGCTCCAGAATGGAGTCCGGAGTCCAGACTCAGACTCCAGTCTTTTGGAAGGCTGACAAAAGTAAGGCTTCTCTTGAGCGTAAGCACAGGTGCTGGGCAGGTTGTCTGGCCCTGGTAACTCTGTTACTGGCCCTGAGGCACAAGACAAGGGGTTAGTTCAGGACTAGAGTAGAGCCCGCTTACCCAGAGTAGAGCCAGAAGAGAAGTGTGATTAGAGGAGTGGTCGCTTGGATGCCAAGTTAGTCTGATCTCTTGAGATTTAAATTTTTTTTTTTTTTTTTTTTTGGCCTTAGGAGAAGATGATTCTAAGAACAGGGAGGGATTCTGACCCTGCAGTGGGGTCAGAGGCCCTTTCTGGAGTCTGAAGGGCCGTGGGGTGTCAGGGAGCCAGGGCAGGTTAATAAAACCTTTTTAGCATTTGAAACTAGGCTAGGATCCAGAAATCTAATGTACAAGTTGTGGTAGACTCCTCACTCAGTCTGAACTAAATTTTGTTTGGAGCCTAAATACTTAGATTTGGACCCAGGTTCTGCTTCTTTCTTGCTGGGTAAAATGGGGCAAGTTGTTTAACCTCTTCTTAAATCCAGTTTCCTTATCTGCAAAATGGGGTTGATCATGGTACCTACCTTATTATGTTGTAAGGAAGGTTAAAACTGAGTTAATGCATGAAAAGCATTTAATTAAAACAGTGCCTGACACATAGGTAACATTTATTGAGTGCTTAGTGTTATTATTCATACCCACTATGGCTATGCAGTTTTGTAACATGTTTGTCCACGCCAAGGAAATGACACACACATATGTGTCCTTTCATACATGCACATAAAACCATTTGTCTGTGATGTTTGATTGTATGCACAGGTTTTTGATGAGAAGTACTTCCTGGTGGAAATGGATGATTTGCGACCAGAGAATCATGCACGGCGATCTTTTGTGTGCCATGCTGACAGTCCTGGTATTTTCCCCGTGCAGTGGAGTCTGAAGAATGGTTTACACATCAGCCCCCCTCCTGGTAGGTGGTGGTTCTGTTCTGAATTGTTCATCAAGGGCTTATTTTTATGAAGGATTTGTCAGATGGCATCACCTGGATCTTTTGTCTGTCTCTCCCTCCTCATTGCCCCAGCCTGTCCTTAACATTTTTGAGTTCCAAGACAAATAGAAATGAAGGCCTTGATTCCATATATTTACATATTTACAAGATATAAGTTAAGCTCAAAAACTATTAAGTATGTTCTGTCCTCCTACCTTGACAAATATATCTTCGTAACGGCCTGGGGTTTCATGCAGGTTCCTAGTTTGCTCCCCCTTGTGTCTGTTGTGAGGGCACAGAGGAGTGAGGGTAGGGTGCACAGGGAGTGTCAGGAGCTGACGTTTGAGAAAAGGGCTCAATACCAGAGCTGGGAGGTAGGAGGCAGATGACTGATGGTTTCTGGGCATCCCCTTGGAGTGAGGCTCATCAGACTTCAGAGGAAGGTTTATGATTAAGAGCAGGACTCAGAGAAGCTGTAAGGTAGGAAAGCAGCAACTCATTTTCCTGGTATTTGCAACTTTGCAAAATATAATTTTTTTTTTAAGATTTTATTTATTTAGAGTGAGCGCGTGTGTGTGAGTGGGGGGGTCGGGGGAGGGGCAGAGGGAGAGAGAGTCTCAAGCGGGCTCTGCATCCAGTGCAGAGCCCACATGGGGCTCGATATCACAACCCTGAGATCATGACCTGAGCCGAAATAAAGAGTCGGATGCTTAACTGACTGAGCCACCCAGGCACCCCTGCAAAGTATAATCTTTGGTCCTTTAATCAAGGCTCTTAAATATGACGATAGTTGACCTTGACTGGGATTTTTAATATTTTTAAACTTACAATATCTGGACATGTCAAATGTTTATCCGACTTTTGTATCAGCACATCAGATTATTTGATTGGCAGTCTGTGTATCCTTTATTAGTAGGCTTTTGGTGAACATAGCTTCACTTTCTAAATGGTGAATGCTGGAACACTGGGCTAGAAGTACTCTTCTGTGTTAACAAGAGTCATAAACTCAGACCCTTTTGCTGTTTATTCAGCCTCCATTCATCCAACAAACATTTGTGGAATGTTTGCTGTGAGCTAGGCATTGGGCTTTGTCTGTCACTGGGGAGACAAAAGTGAGTATGACAGTTCCTTCAAGGAGCAAGTAGGGGAAAACAGTAGTGGAGTCTCCAGGTTCTCCATCAGTGAACAGAGAGTGGGCATGCCTGCCTGGTGGTGGTGGCAGGAGGGCACACGCCTGCAGGAGGATGTTCTTGCTTTGCTGAAAGGCTCTGGACATCCCAAGTTCTTTATCTTACCTGCTGCCTTTATGTGAAAAGGAAAAGCAATTATTAAAGCTATTGGAGCTTTCAGCATTGTTATAGACAACTCCTCTGTCTCTGTAAGTAGGAGGAAAGTAGTGGATTATGTAATTGAAAATGCAGCTAATTTGCTGTGAGGGATAGAGGTGGAGGCAGGGGGAGAGCGTGGTGCCGGTCTGAGGTGGGCAGAGGGGGGACTGCAGAGGCCTGGGCGGCTGTCAGGTGGCGTAGTGGCCCGCGGTGTGCCTGCGACGTCCTCCGCTCTGTGCGGCAGGGAGGGCTGCTCCGGAAACAGCAGGGCAGCCGGGCAGACGGTGCAGCCAGCACGTCGGGTTGGAGAGGCCTCTGCCGCCAACCGTGGTGGACTGAAGCAGGCAGTTAAGCTCAACTCTTTCTGAAATGAATTCATGATTGAGGTTGTAAGAGCACTGCGATTCTGTAGAACAGGAATCTGAAAACAGTGCCGAGAGCATTGTGTCGGGCGTGGCTAGGATGTGTGAAGGCATAGCTTCGTGAGAAGAAAGAGACGATCTGCTGGCTCTCCCTTTAGAGCTTAACTTGGAAGAGAATGGAGAGTAAGACTGGATTTATTAGTACAAATCGAGTCCAGTCGTAAGTGGCTTAAATTCTTCCAGTAAACTGCCAGCAGCTAATCATATAAAGTAGTGTTGAAAATAAATGCATAGTTTGAAACTCGAAAGCTTAAAAAACATATCTGAAGAATTTTATTATATTGCTATGGTTTGACCAGAGTTGCTCTGTTTTATAACCTGAACGATGCTTTGGATTTATAGGTGGTTTTTCCTCCTCCCTAAAATGAGCAAAGTCCTCAAATTAGCAAATGAGAAGTTGTGGGTGGACAGCTGGCAGAGTGGAAGAGCCAGGCAGGCACGTGTGGTGTGAATCATTGTTTTTGTGTCCTTACCTAGGCTACCCGGGCCAGGACTTTGATTGGGCCGACTACCTCAAACAGTGTGGTGCTGAAGCTGCTCCCCAGAGGTGCTTTCCTCCGGTGAGAACCCCGGTCCCCTCATTGCCATGCTCTGGGGCTGCAAGTCACTGCTGTGCTTTCCATGCTCACGTGGTTATTACTCAGTCCTCTCACTCAACCCAAATGAGCAGCTTGTTGAGTATAATAAAATGGTCCAAGGAAAAACTAATTGACTGCAGGAGTTAATTTGTTAATTTAATTGGTTTTTAAAGTTTATCAGTTTTTTTATTTAGTTGAAATCATGTACATTTTTTAGTTCATAATTATTTTTTGTTGTTTAAAAAATATGAAAAAATGTTTAAATATTAAGTAGAAAGAAATCATTAAGGTTATTTAAAAATACTTCTGTGAGAATATTACATGCATATGGTTTACAATGCCAAATAGCAGTAAAAAGCTTCACAACATAAAACAACAGGTCCCTGCCCTGTCCCTTTCTGTGGTCTCCCTTTCCACGAGTACTCATTCCCGTTGTTCTGATATTTATACTTAAATCATTTTCAAAATAGTATGCTGCCATCTTTTGAGTCATTAATTTTAGACATGTCTATTGGTTGTATGTTATGGTAAATGAGCACTTAGCTATTTTATATTACCTGTCTCCTCTTTCTTACTCACCTCTTCTTCCTGTTAGAGTTATATTACAGTTCGGGGTTAAATCTGAATTGAGTATTTACACTATGATATGCAGTCATAGATTATTCACAGCTGAGCACTGCATTATTTTATGATTTTCTTTTTTTTATTTGTCCTCAAGTTAATAATTGCCTTGTTTTTCATAACTTAATTTTCTTTTTTTTTAAGGATTTATTTATTTGAGAGAGAGAGAGAACACAAGTAGGGGGAGGGACAGAGGGAGAGAGAGAGAATCCTTAAGCAGACTCCCTGCTGAGCACAGAGCCCGAGGCGGGGTGGGGCTTGATCTCATGACCCTGATATCATGACCTGAGCCAAAATTAAGAGTCTGATACTCTGAAGCAGTAGGGATGCAACCTTCTTGTCAGTTTGTAATTACTTCTCCTTTCCCCCATCCTTTCACGCTTACCTTACCCACACCTGTTTCGGCAGCGGTTTTCCAGTGACTCCGGTTTATTCTTCCCAGCAGCAGCTATCGTTTTCTGTGGGTGTGTGTGGTAGAGGAAGGCAGCTGTCTCACTGACAGGAGCCCAGGAGGACCAAGAAAAGGCTGTGCCGCCAACCACTTCTGCAGAGTCTGAGATTCCGCCCTGAGCGAGGCGAGATGACTATGAAGAACACTAGCTCCTGGGCCTGGGTCATAGTCCCGTGTTCGGAGCGAATGCTCGCATAGCTGCCCTGTAGCATTTCCCGGAAGTCTCTTGGGTCCAGCTAGACCTCTGTGTTTTTCCTAGTTACAGTTATCTCTTTGTATTTTAGGGTAGAAGTGTTAAAGTACAAGATATTCCATAGACACGTTCTCTTTTCCTCGAGTCTGTGGCCACTTAGATAACCTTGATGTAGGAACTTTGTCATTTCTAATATTTTGCTTAGAGACATCCCTCTTAGCAACCTCCACTCTCTCTCCCCAGACAGGTTGCTCACTAGGCTTGCCGTGAGATTTTAGGCCTGGAGACTGCCTTCAGTGCCACTCAAGGATTTGCCTCTTTAAGATTCCTGTTTTGTATGTCTAACCGCAGCCTCTTTCTTGGTTTATTCCCTTGTTTGGATGGAGCCCATCTCCCAGTAGCTTCCTGAAATGAGACGCAAGAGAGGTAAATTTTAATAGACTTTGCATCTTTGAAAATGTCTTCATTCTATTAACTTGATTGATAGTTTGGCTCAATGTGGAATTTTAGGTCAGAAGTTACCTGAGCAATTTAAAAACATCATTTAGTTGTTTTCATCCTTCCAGTGGAACTGTCGAGAAGTTGAAACCTGTCCTTATTCTTGATCTTTCATAGATGATCTGCCTTTTACTCCGTCCCTGGAAGGTTTATAAGATCTTTGTCACCACGTTTCCTAGCCGAGCCACAGCATGGCTTGTTGGCCTGTGTTCATTCACTTGCTGGGTTCTCAGCGAGCACCTTCTCCCTAGATATTTGTTCCTCTCTGTGCTGGGAAGTGCTCTTGCATCTCTTCTTTGATTTCCTTCCTTGCATTTTCTCTTTTCTCTTTTTCTGGATTTTCTTTTATTTGTATGTTGGCCCTCTGGATCAGACCACTTTTCCCAAACTTTATCTTTCAACCCTTCTTTAGAGTTTTTAATTTTTATTATCACTTTTTTTAATTTTTATTTTCCAGAACTATTTCTGGTCTCTGAATATTTATTTTTAATAGCATATTATTCTTGTTTTAAAGATGTGATAGTTTTTCTTATCACTCAGGGGATGTTAATTACCCCTGCCTTTTGGGAAATTTTCTTCTTGCATAAAAAGTTTTCTCCACTTTGCTTGTTTTGTCTACTTTGGTCCCTAGCTTTCATGTTTTTAGATGTCTGGTAATGCTTGGTGATTTGCTCATATTTAAGAAGGGGGGTACTAAAAGTTAAAGCCGATTGGAGGCTCTGAGCATGTGGGTGGGGCTTGTCAACCTTGAACTTCTTTTTAGGGTGGGATCTGGCTGGCCATTTGTCAGGGACACCTAAATCCATATCTTCCTGTGTTTCTTCTTGGGCTTGTCATATGACCACGTATTTCCCCGTCTTAGAGGCAAGGGCTGGACCTCTCAGCATTCCATGTGCAAACCCCTGTTTTGGGCACTGCATGTAGGCTCCCAGCAGCTCCCATGCCCTCCTGCCCGCGATCTCTTGTCTCTGATCCTCTCTGGAGGATACATCTCACCTTTTGTAGGGGAAGGGGTGGGATAGTTGCTCTGGGGTGTGGAGTGGAGGAGCCAATGGTATGACCTAACTGGTTCTTAAATGTTTTCAGCATATCTTGACTATTTCTTCTCTACCTGCAGTTGCCTAGTACCTGGAGCTGCCTGTTCTTAGCCTGTTTCGCTGCCAGCTTACACTCACCCTTCTGTAATCTGCTACATTAGTTCTAGATGCTCTTCTAAATTTTAGCTTATAAAATGTTGTTATTGTCTCCTGTTACATCTGTCCTAATAGGTTTATGTAAAAAAAAAAAACAAAAACACAAAACCCAACACTTTAGTTTTAGTGTGCTGTCAGAAGGAAGAGAGAACAATCAAATATGGTTCAATTCTCCATTTTGACCCAGAAGTTGCAAATTTTTCAAACATATATTTTCCCTCATTCATAAGCATTATTTATCCTGACTGCTTTTTATGATACACACATAAGTAGGAACCAGGCAGCGTATTGTGTGATCAAGCCCTTTATGGGAGGAGAAACAAACCAACAGTGGGTGAGAGCCAGTTGGTTCAGGGCACAGAGCCTTCGGTACTTCATGTTATTGAAAACTACTAATAACCCAGTGAGGTAAGTGTTCTCAGGGTCATCTGACAGATGAAGAAACGGAGGCAAAAAGAGGTTACACAGCTTGAGCGCAGTCCCACAGGTAGCAATAACGTGGGTATACCTGACCTCAGAGACCATATACTGCTTACAGCACCAAGAGAGACAGACATTTTGACTTTAAGAAACAAAACAAAGCAAAATAAATGTATAGCTTCAAAGTGTTACCGTAGGGTTAAGTATTACTTGGACTAGGTCTCTCAGATGAGCCCATGAGTTAATAGAATGTGTTTGGATTTGATCATTTATTTTCCAGTCCATTTCTGAGCATGAATTTAAGGAGAATATGAAGCTTGAGGCAGTGAACCCTCTTCTCCCCGAAGAAGTATGCGTTGCCACCATTACTGCACTGAGAGGCTCCTACCTGTGGCTCCAGCTGGAGGGTGAGTGCTGGACCCCTGAGACGCCCCCTGCGGCCGCTCGTCTCTCCCCCGCCTGCTTACCCCGGTGATGTGGCTTGTTAGACTGCAGCAGTTAGCTAAGTGGGGGTCTTGCTAAGACCCTCGTAATTTGTAGTGCAAGATTCTTAGCTAGAAACTTCTCTTCCCGTCCTTGACTTTCAAATTTTAGAAAATGAATGTAAGCAAAAAGCCTTCACTGCAGAGTCTCCTGTTTTCTTGAAGGGAAAGTAGAAGTCAGAAGGCATATGTTTTGATGTAACCAGAATATATAAGCGTGAGCATTAACATGTAGCTCATTTAAGAGATAGTATTTTGTTTGCCCCTAACCAATAGAACCAAAAAGTATGTAAAATAGAAAAGATATACTAAAAGTAATGTTCAATGATTGGATGGGTTTGTGGATGGAAGGCATTATGTGAGCACTCAGCACTGCAGTTACTGAATAGATGGCCTGGGTTTCTTTCTTATTTGGCTACCAAATAGACTTGGTACCTACTCTTTCCAGTTTGTAGAATTGGCATTTAATGCAGATGTCAGGGACAGTATTGAATCTACCCCTCCCGAGCAACATCACTTCCCGAGTTGACTTCACTGCTCTACCTTCTAGCTTGTTCCCAAGGACCAGAATTAACGTTCTCATTGAGTAAAACTGTCACTGTTGCCTTTCGTTTTCCAGCTATTTCATGGAATTGACTATATTTGTCAGCCATCTGAATGATACTGCTGGTAGTTGCAGTTGCTTATTTGCTGTTCTGTAACTAGGGGTCACCCTGTATGCCCACTACCCATTTTCTTTTTCTTTTTTCTTTTTTTTTAAAGATTTTATTTATTTATTTATTTGAAAGAGAAAGAGAGACAGCATGAGGGAGGGGGAAGGGCAGAGGGAAAGAGAGAATCTCAAGCAGACACCCCGCCGAGCAAAGAGCCTGACGCGGGGCTTGATCCCATGACCCTGAGATCATGACCTGAGCCGAAACCAAGAGTTGGATGCTTAACCAACTGAGCCACCCAGGCGCCCCCATTTTCGTTTTTGTACAGGTATGCATAGGGCATATTTAATTTTTTTCCTTAATGTTTGTCAATACAAAAAAGTATGACTTCTGTGTAAAAGGAACTTGCTCAGGTGATTTTGTGTCTGCATTCCTGCAATGGTAGAATATTGTCTAGAAAGTAGTTGATGAAGAAGGCTGTTTAATGGTCTAAAACTTTTTTTTAATCTAAACAGGTTCTAAGAAGCCCATACCGGAATGTATTGTGAGTGTGGAATCCATGGATATATTTCCTTTGGGCTGGTGTGAAACCAATGGCCATCCCCTCAGCACCCCTCGCCGAGCACGAGGTAGCTGTCTATGTCTGGGCCAGGGGGCTGATCCTGTGTGGCTGCTTCCAAATTAGGATGAATCTGGACATTACAGAGAAAAACAAAGTGGTGTTCTGGTTGTCTGTTCCTGCATAGGAAATCACTTATTGCAACAAGCATGGATTATCTTAGAGGTTTCTGCGGGTCAGGAATCTGGGTGCTCTGGATCTAGGCCCCTCATGAGCCTGCGGTCAAGGTTCAGCCAGGACTCCAGCCATCTCAAGCCCCACAGCGGGGAGGATCTGCTGCCACGTAGCAAGAGTCATTCCCTCGTGGCTCTTGGCCTGAGGGCCTCAGTTCCTTGCTGGCTGTTGGTCGGAGGCTTCCCTCAGTTTCTTGCCACGTGGCCCTCTTTGTTGGGGAGCCCACAACATGGCAGTTGGCTTCCATCAGAGCCAGCCAAGAAGAGAGGAAGAGAGGTTGAGGAAGGTGGAAGCCAGAGTGTTTTGGTAACCTAACCTGACACGTCACACCCCACTCTCCCTTTTAAAAACAGCTTTATTGAATATGTCATTTATATAACATAAAATTTGATCCTATAATCCAGTGGTTTTTGGTATATTCATGGAGTTGTGCAGCTGTCACCACAGAACATTTGAAAACATTTGCATCGTCTCAGAAAGAAGCCCTGTACCCCTTGGCAGTCACCTTTTTACCTCCTGCCCCCCAGCCCTAGTTTTCCTACTGTATAGGTTTGCCTGATCTGGACAATTCCTGTGGAATCGTGCAACATGTGATCTTTTGGGATGGGCTTCCTTCACTCTGCATAATGTTTTTAGAGTTCATCCAGTGTAGTTTTTAGTGCTATTGCATCGTAGTGATAGGCCATGTTTTCTTTATCCGGGTCTCAGTTGATGGACATTTGGGTTGTTTCCATTCCTTAGCGGTTATGAGTAACGGTGCTGTAACATTTGTCTGCAGGCTTTTATGTGGACAGTGTTTTCATTTCTTGAGTGTAACTCTGTGTTTAACACTTTGAGGAACTGTTAGACCCTATTCGTCCCCACCAGCACTGTGTGAGCATTCCACTTTCTCCACATGACTTTCTGAGTTTTTTGTTTGCTTGTTTGTTTTTTGGGTTTGTTGTTGTTGTTTGTTGGGTGGTTTTTTGTTTGTTTCTTTTTTATAATAGCCATGCTGGTGGGTATAGGGTGGTATCTTACTGTGGTCCAGATTTGCATTTTCTTAACCATTAACTATGTTGAGCACCTTTTCATATGCTTATTGATATTGGTATATCTTCTTTCAAGAAATGTCTATTCAAGTCTTTTGCCCATTTTTTTAATGGGTTTTTTGTTGTTGCTGAGTTGTAGGATTTTGTTATATATTCTAGATATTAATCCTTTCCTTATCAGATACATGATTTGCAAATATTTTCTCCCATTCTGTGGGTTGCCTTTTCTCTCTCTTGATGGTGTCCTTCGGTGCACAGAAGTTTTAAATCTTGATGTAGTCCAATTAATTTTTTCTTTTGTTGTCTCTGCTTTTGATGTCATATCTAAGAAATCGTTGCCAAATCTGATGTCATGAAGATTTTCCCTTACGTTGTCTTCTAAGAGTTTTATAGTTTTAGCCTTTATGTTTAGGTCTTTTTAAAAATTTTTTATTTTTTTCATTTTTTTAAAGATTTTATTTATTTGACAGAGAGAGAAGGAGAGAGCATAAGCAGGGGGAGGGGCAGAGGGAGAGGGAGAAGCTGACTCCCCACTGAGCAGGGAGCCCGACGTGGGGCTTGATCTCAGAACACTGGGATCATGACCTGAGCTGAAGGCAGATGCTTAACTGACTGAGCCATCCAGGTGCCCCTTTAGGTCTTTTTTTAAAACTTTTTTTTTTTTTTGAGAGAGAGAGAGAGGGGAGGGGAGGGGCAGAGGGAGAGAGACAAAGAGAATCTCAAGCAGGCTCAACACCCAGCACAGAGCCCAGTGTTAGGGCTTGATCTCATGACCCTGAGATCATGACCTGAGCCAAAACCAAGAGTCAGACTCTTAACTGACTGGGCCACCCAGGGGTCCCTATGTTTAAGTCTTTGATCCATTTGGAGTTAATTTTTATATATGGTATAATGTAAGAGTCCAACTTCATTAATGTGGGTAGTCAGTTTTCCCAGCTCTATTTGTTAAAAAGGCTGTACTTGACCCATTGAACGGTCTTGGCATCCTTGCCCAAATCAGTTTTTCTTTTGACTATCTTTTCTTGTGTAGAAAATATTCATAGGAGTCAATGGATTTAAGAACCTTGCAAATATTATTTTTGGTCTTTGTATAAAGACTCCTCCTACCCAGAAAATGTGCCTCAGTCTAGATACTCAGATATATCAGCACTTAATTCATAGTACTTACTAGTTAAATATACACATGACTGGGTTTTAAATATGCTAATGTTAGCTTACTATATATATAACTTTGTTTATTTTTCTTGACATTTATAGTTTTATTTTCTTCTTACAGTACACAAACAGAGGAAAATTGCAGTGGTTCAACCAGAAAAACAGTAAGTAATATACTAGTATGTTTGAACAGTTGACATTTGAAAGTTAGAATATCTAGAAAAAGAAATCACTATTTCAGAGAGTACATCTCATATGTTATTTTCTCAGGTAGAGGCATAATTCTTTAATTCAGCTTTTGATAGGTTACATACTTTTACTTACACCATATGCATTTTCTGAAATGGCATTATATACAAAAGGGTAAAATGCCTTCTCAAGATGTTCCCACCAGTTGAGTTTTCTTTGGCTTTTAGAGCCTGAAAGCATTTGCATAAGAGAGGAAATAGAATCTCTGTACTGTTATTTGTTAAGGAAGAGCAAAAATTATAAATTAGGATATGATATGATTTGTCACAATGAAAAAAAACTTGAGGTGGAAGATAGTGGCTCTGAAAGAAAAGGTGCACTCAGGGGTACCTTTGTGTTCTTTTGGGAAACCCTTTATACCTTCATACATAGCTTTTGAGAAGCAATTTAATTAGTGATGCCTTAAAAATACATGTACATGTGTGTTTCTAAACACTGGGTTTTCAATTCTGTATTAGTTTGCACAAGCTGCCATTAACAGAGTACTACTGACTGGGTGGCTGAAACAACAGAAATTAATTTTCTCCCAGTTCTGCAGGCTGGGAAGTCCGAGGTCAAAGTGCCAACCCGATTTGGTTCTGGCCGGGCTCTCTTCCTGCGTCCTCACATGGTAGGGCCAGCTGGAAGGGAGAGCCAGCCCTCCTAGGTCAGAGTCACGCCTTTATTTACCTCGTAAGAGCTCTATCTCCAGACACAGTCACAGTGGGGCTTCAGGGAATGAATTTTAAGGGGACACAATTCAGTCTATAGCAAATTCTGTGTAAGTTAGGGCTGCTTCTGTGGCTGTGTGAGTAATAAAACTGACAGCAGACATGGAGAGAGAGGCCACAGAATTCAGTTCCAAGTAGAGAAGTGAGATAGCAATGTCAACAATCTGACCTTGGATTTCTCCTTGACTTAGTTGTCGAGACGGATCCAAAGTTTTAGTCACGAAGTAGTCTAAAAACGAGAAGTTAGCCTTTTTCATTGATTGCTGCATAGAGAATAATTCTCTGATTTTTAAAACATAATTTGTCTTTAGTTTTGAAACCGATAGAAGAAAATAGACCCTTATATGGAATGTTTTTGTTCTTTGACTATTGAAAAAGATGAAAAATTTGCTTATGGTTTGAGAATCCCAGAAGGAATTCTATAATTTGTTGCTCACATGAATGAAAGTTGATTTGAATATGAAGTATTACAGACTGTTGGCTCGTTAAACCATGTACATAGTTTTAAAAACAATTGTTAAAAAAATAAAAGTGTGATCAGGGAAGCACCTTCTGTTATACAGTTTGCAGTCTGCCACATTTGCTTTCTTAGATTTGAAGGGAACGAACCTTCACACTTCACTGACCTTAAGGATTATCTTACTATTTTGTTGTGTTATCTTGACCCAGAATACCATCCTCCAGGACTGTCCATGAGGGCCTGAAGAATCAGGAGCTGAACTCCACAGACTCAGGTATAAATAAGTGTATGCAGCCTTATGGAAACGAGAACCTTCTGTTTCTTTTAATGGACTGTATCTGAAACAGTACATTTGATTTATAGGATGTAGCTTCACAGAGGGGTCTCTTAATGGTGACTTTAAAGACTTACAATTGTCTGAGGTGTGTTTAGTTAAATAATTATCTTTAGGATGATATTTTTGTCCATTTATAATTATAACTATTCTCTCCTGATCACTTGTTGGGTGCCAAGGGCTCTGGAGGGGTCAATATTCTCATCCCTGAGTTTAGATGAAGAACCAGGGGCTTTCTAGGCAGTGCAGTCTCTTAAGCTGGGTGGTTGAGAGGTGGATGTTTATTGTTCTTTAAACACTTTCTGCGATACACACATTATGCTACATATTTCACAATTAAAAAAATAAAGCACTGGAAAAATAGATTGTCCCAGAGGCAATGCCTGATGAATGAAGCAAGAATCATTGCTGGAGGCCAAAGCCTTTTGTCAGAGGGTCTCTCCCTGGAACTGCTCTCAGCTCCGCCTTTGCTGGTTGTATGCTTAGCATCTTGGCTGTGTGTATTCTAGCACAGATTATGCATTTGGATGGCATTTAGTAAATGCCTAGAAAAGAAAAGAAATCAAAGCTCAGAGAGGCCACACAGCTTTATGAATAGATGGGTCAAATGTAATTCGGGGGGCGCCTGGGTGGCTCAGTCGGTTAAGCGACTGCCTTCGGCTCAGGTCATGATCCTGGAGTCCTGGGATCGAGTCCCGCATCGGGCTCCCTG